GAGAGGGTGAGGGAGGGAGGAGAGGTGAGGGTGAGGGTGAGGGAGAGGGAGAGGGAGAGGAGAGGGAGATAGAGGGAGGGAGGGAGGGAGGGAGGGAGGAGGGAGAGATGGAGAGATTGAGAGAAGGTGAGGGCGAGATTGAATGAGTAGAGTGAACAGAGTTGAGTGAGAGAATGAGAGACAGACAGACAGATAGATAGACAGACCGAGGTCGAGACCGAGACCGCGAATTAGAGAGATGTGGGAGCGGGAAGGAACGAGAGAAAGAGAAGAGGAAGAAAGAGGGTAGAGGCAACTCAAGATTGCAGTTTTTTCCCTCCCTCCTCCCCTTTCTCCTTCGCCCTGCCCCCCCTCCCCCATCACCCCCCCCATCACCTACCTACATCCCCCCATCACCTACCTCCATCCCCCCATCACCTACCCCCCCCCCATCACCTTCCCTCCCTCCCCCTCCCCGTTGCTAAGTATCGTTGTTTTTTTGTCGTTTTGTCGTGGTATTTTGTGAAACTCTGTCTACGGGAAAGTTCCTGTTTGTTGGAGCGACACTTGACAGGCGACGTCGAAGGTCAAACGAAAGAAAGAAAGAGAAAAAGAAATTGAAGTTCGAAACTCGCGGTAGGGCGTGTTCCCTCCTCTTCCTTGTTCTTGTTCTTGTTCTTGTTCTTCTTCTTCTCCTTCTCCTTCATCATCTCCTCCTTCAACTCCTCCTCGTCCTCTTCTTCTTCTTCCTCCTCCTCCTTCATCTCCTCTTCCTTCTCCTCCTCTTCTTCCTCCTCCTCTCCCTCCCCCCTCTCTCTCCCCCTTTCTTTGGGGTTTATTTAATGTGTGTGATGAAACTCAGGTTAAATTTCCTGTATTTGTGTGCAAGTTTTTTCTCTTTTAATGGTTTATTTTGATGCACTAGAATACCTGCCTGTAAGAAGTCTGTGAATAGATAAGGATATACTTGAGAATGATGATTCGCAAAATGAGAATAATGAGAGATGATGATGTGATGAATGATGGTGGTGGTGATGATGATGATGATGATGATGTGGTGATGATGATGATGGTGATATGATGATGATGATGATGATGATGATGATGATGATGATGATGATGGTTTTCGTAAGGATAATGATAGTACTGATGGTGATGATGACGATAATTGTGATGGTGATAACGGCATCAAAACTCCAAAAATGTGTCCATGAGTTCTGCCTCTCTCTCTCACCTTCAAGTTGTTATTGTTCCTCGTAGAGCTGGCACTTCCTGTTGTTATTCAGACCGAGATTTCACGGGGTTTTGGAAGCCTTCGGGAGTGCCTTACGCCCCTACCCCCCTTCCCTTTCCCCCCCTCCCCCCTTTCCTCCTCCCCTCTCCCCCCCAATCTCCCTTTCCCCCCCCCTCCCCCCCCCCCCTCCCCCAAGCCTCTTAAAATCGCTACGTGCGTTTGCGGTTGTTGTGCGTACGTGCGTGTAGGTTTTTTTTTTTTTTTTGTGCGTGTGCGTTTTTGTGCATGTGCGTTCAGAATCCGATTCTTTTTTTAGTATGTTTTGGCGGTTTTATTTTATTTATTTGTTTATTTATTATTTGTTTATTCATTTATTTGTATTCATCTAGATTTAGTTAGTTTATTTATTGGATATTTAATTATTTGTTTGCTTATTCTATGAAGGAAAATGTTTTATAGGTGTGTTGTATGGTTATTTTGCTCTCCCATTCTTTCGTTCACTTTTCCCGCGTTAGGGTAGTCGGTCAGTCAGTCAGTTATCCAGTGAGTCGGTCAGTCAGTCAGTCATCCAGTCGGTCGGCCGGTCGGTCGTTCAGTCGTTCAGCCAGTCAGTCAGTCAGTCAGTCAGTTATCCAGTGAGTCAGTCAGTCGGTCAGCCAGTCAGTCATCATGTGAGTCAGTCAGTCGGTCAGCCAGTCAGTCATCATGTGAGTCAGTCAGTCAGTCATCCTGTGAGTCAGTCAGTCGGTCGTTCAGTCAGTCACTCAGTCATCCAGTGAGTCAGTCAGTCGGTCAGCCAGTCAGTGAGTCAGTCACTCAGTGATCCAGTGAGTCAGTCGGTCAGCCAGTCAGTGAGTCAGTCAGTCGGTCGTTCAGTCAGTCAGTCATCCAGTGATTAAGTCAGTCGGTCGGTCGTTCAGTCAGTCATCCAGTGAGTGAGTCTGTTGGTCGGTCGTTCAGCCAGTCATCCAGTGAGTCAGTCAGCCAGTCATAGGACAAGGAAAGACGAAGGAAAAAAGGCTTAGGGACACGAAGAAGAAGAAGAGAATGACCAGGTGTCAGTCTTAAGAAAAAAAAATATATATACATATACGCCTCTTATCCTCTATCTCGCAAAAGATATATCTATACGCCTCTTATCCTTATCTCGTCATCGCTTATCTGGAGGCAACATGCGTGGTGTTGTCGACGAAGCTTAGAATCCAGGAAATGCTGATATGTGGATGCACTTGAATTAACAGCTGTTGTTTACCTTTGCGGATGGGTCCAAGAGGGTGCCAGGCAGTT